TACATAAGCCGAATAACAGCTATCCAGTGACCAATCACTGACAGACAGTCAAAGAAGTGACATGATTGGTCACTCATCATTGATGTGGCTCTGTTATCAGCATAGTAATTTTGTGGACTGAAAAGCTAGCAGCAAAGTTAGTAATTATCCAATTACTCAGTTGATATACTGTGGTAACAGATTTGAACTGTGTTGTAGGGGGACTGATGTTATTAAACTACACTGTGGTGACTGAAATTTGCGATGATGCCATGCAGAGCAATGACAGTGCTGCACTTGAAATGCCTAGCACGCGGTTAGCATTTAGTAAGTAATAGATTGTTTAACTTCTATCATTTTCATTATATTACTACTGTTTCTACTCCTGAGCTACGGGCCACTGAGGAGTCAGTCCGAGAGGGAGGGGCTGGTGCTGGGAGGTGGCAGACAGTGCAGTGTTTTCAGCCAAGAGTGTAAAATGGCTGTGTCCAAGGGATACCTTAATCTCAGTTGGGAACTCAGGCCAAGGGCTTATTGGCAGCCGTCTGAGAAGGGGTTTTGAGGAGTGCCAGCAGGTAGGCAGAGCTCAACAGCAGAGAGCCTAGGCAGGCGCTGTTCCTGAGATGAAGGAAGCAGATGGTGTCTGAGAGGTCTGCTCCCAGATCATAGGGCTCCAGCCATGGCTAGAGCTGCGGCCAAGGCCTGGAGAGGGCAGCTGGCCAGAACAAGGCAGGACCCTAGGCCAGGTAGAGCCTACACCAATTACCAGAGGAAGGAGCTGGCACAAAAGCCAGGGAGGAAAAGCAGTCATCTCACGTGGGAGAAAGGGACCCTGTGTGCAAAGAGTCAGGTGCAGGAGCGATTGCTGCAGCTCAGGGGGTAGCAGGCAAGAACCAGAGCAGCTAAGCTCTGGACAAGGAGGTGACCCATCACTGAGCCCCACCAGCCAAAGAGAGGGAATTGAGGCCCCCATAGTTGTATTTCCTGTCCCACGTGGATGATCCTGGAGCCCAGCCCTGGGAGACCGAGGCAATAAATAGAGGCTTGTCAGCCTGACCCAATGCAGTGATTCACTGCTGCTGCACAATGCTGCCTCCTTTCCTTCCAGTCACATTTATTAGCCTTAATAGAATTTATCTTACCTACTTATCTACAAAGTAATACACTCAGCCAAGGCAGGCCCATTGGGTAAGAAATGATGAACATTTGGCTTTCAACTAATAAGAAATAAACATGGAATAATAATGACTCAGATATACATTGTGTTGACTAATGATAGCACAAATCGAAAATGCATATAGATCACATAGGACTGTGTTCAGGCAGATAACCGAAACCTAACCAAAGTAACTTAACCGCATCCAGGTTTATTTTCCTCACACGGTTAGATGCTCTGTAAGTAGTCAGCTCAGGCTGCTGTGGTGACTCCCGGTGCCATCGGGACTGAGGCTTCTCTTGTGTTCTTGCTCTGCCCTCCTCACACTTAACATGTGCAGGGCTGCTGAGTCACCCAACACCGGGGCACGGATAGTTTCCATTTGCTTATGAAGATCTATTCTCTACTCTTCTTTAACTTGTTCAGTGCCGTGAGGCTGACCTAAATGTATTACATCACCTGACGTCTCCAGGTCTCTGACTTCCAGCTGGGTTTGGCCAATGGGAGGCGCCACCAACAGGAGATTGTAAGGTTGGGGTAATGTACCTCCTAGTCCCTTTCGTGGGGGTGAACAGAGGGCGCTCCTCTTGGGCAGCTCTTCCCTGCGGCTGCTTCCTCCCACTCCTGGTGCTATAGCATCAATTCTTTTTTTTTTTTTTTTTTTTTCCCCCCGGTAAGCGGGCCTCCCTCTCCTGTTGTGGAGCACAGGCTCCGGACGTGCAGGCTCAGCGGCCATGACTCACGGGCCCAGCTGCTCCATGGCATGTGGGATCTTCCCGGACCGGAGCACGAACCCATGTCCCCTGCATCGGCAGGTGGACTCTCAACCACTGTACCACCAGGGAAGCCCTATAGCATCAGTTCTTAACCAGGTTTCCCTAACACTGACTACACCTTTTCAAATAGTGCCTGTTTTCAGAGTCTCCACCCATTAGCTCACTGGGGTGGGCCATCTGTGTCCTGCCGGGACACTGACTGACTCGCCACGGCAGTCTCTGCACGCAGCCTGTGGGACCATATGCAGCAGCACAGGGTGGGCCTTTCATCCACAGGGCTGCGAGATGGCGACTCCACTTCCAGGCACCAAGGTTGGGTTTCAGACAGGAGGAAAGGGCAAAAGGCACCAAACGGCTCTTTGCCAGGGAAACAATAGCTTTCTAGGAAGTCACAGCCAGCCAGCTTCTGCTCACATGCTGCTCTAGCTTCAGGACCTCTGAGGAGGTGAGTGTTTTTAACTGGACAGTTACCACCTCAAATGACAGAGTATTTCTATTTGAAGGGAAGGAGCAGAGAGGTTATTAAGTTGTACCAGGCTACCAGTGTTTGAAACAGCATATAACTCATTTGGACTTTTTGAAAAAAGTTATCGATTGCTTACTGTTACAATTTCTTTGTCTTGTTTATACCTTGGGGTGTCTTCATGCAACAACAATAATAATCACTTCCATGTTCTGAGCCCTTACTGAGTGCATTACATGCTTGAGGTCTTTTAACCCTCACAAGAAGCTTCCTCACCTTACAGATGAGGAAACTGAAGGTGAGATTTTCAGGAATGTGTAAGTGTAACGTCGGAGCTAACACCTAGTTCTGTTCGTCTGTCTCCAGAGCCCAAGCCGGTAGCCGCTACACTTAGGGTGCCCCTTATATCCTACATCTCTTTCTATTCTCATTTCTTCCCCAGGGGAGAATCTGTGCATCCAATTTGGAAATATAGGTCATAGACAGTAAGCCTCTTGCAGCTCAGCACATGGCCCAGCAGAAATAAAGGAGGGGCTTCTCTGGTGGTGCAGTGGTTAAGAATTCTCCTGCCAATGAAGGGGACACGGGTTTGAGCCCTGGTCTGGGAAGATCCCACATGCCTTGGAGCAACTAAGCCCGCAAGCCACAACTGCTAAGCCCGCAAGCCACAACTGCTGAGCCCACATGCTGCAACTACTGAAGCCCGCGAGCCTAGAGCCTGTGCTCTGAAACAAGAGAACCCACTGAAATGAGAAGCCCACACTGCAATGAAAGTAGCCCCTGCTCGCCACAACTGGGGAAAGCCCACTCGCAGCAACAAAGACCCAACGCAGCCAAAAAAAAAAAAAAGACTAGTGCCACTGAAGAACTGAATTTTATTTATTTTAAAACAAACATAATTTCTTTTTTTTTAATTTTCTTTTAATTTTATTTATTTTTTATTTTTGGTTGCACTGGGTCTCAGTTGTGGCAGGCAGGCTCCTTAGTTGCGGCTTGCTGGGTCCTTAGTTGCGGTTCACTGGCTCCTTTAGTTGTGGCACGTATGCTCCTTAGTTGAGGCTCGTGGGCTCCTTAGTTGTGGCATGCAAACTCTTAGTTGCAGCATGCATGTGGGATCTAGTTCCCTGACCAGGGACCGAACTCATGTCCTCTGCATTGGAAGGCAGATTCTTAACCACTGCGCCACCAGGGAAGTCCTGAGGAACCGAATTTTAAATTTTACTTAGTTTTTTTTTTTTTGTTTTTTTTTTTTT